CTCCCTGGCTGCCAGAAGGATGTCTGACTGCAAGCTTAGGCCTGATCCCCCAGGGAGTGGGCCTAAGTTGACAGGTGGACATCCTCCAAGGGGTCCTGGACTGTGAATGGGCGCAGGCCGGGCTGAGGGACCCGCCCCCCCCCAGTGCAAGAATTTTTGTGCACCGGGCCCCTAGTGTATATATAATACTGAGAAAGCAAACTGAAAGAAGCACTAAAATATAAATACATTTATATTTTCTGTTATCCAGAATCAACTTTGTTATTACAAAGTGGTCTCAGTGAACACCAAAATCACAGTTTTTTAAAACGTGCACTTAACTGTTTTTCTGATGACAAAGATATTAGAAAAACTAAGAATGGATTAATCTACCAGAACAGAAATATCCTTATCTTAATTTAGGTTCCTATGGAAGTAGACCTTGAGATCAAGATTCAGTACAAGTAGAAGGGGGATGGAAAAGTACTAGTAAAATAGGGAAGGCAATGTAGCCTGAATAGCGTACAATATTAAAGTAGCTACAACAGAGGGTAACTGGAGTTTAACCCCAAAGTAATCTCTGAGAAACAGTATAAAAGTACAGAGGTGAAAGAGCTGGAGCAGTTATAGACCCATCTCCCAATCAGTCATAGTTGAAAACTTCTGGAGAGAGGGGGAGGAGAGTTGTGAATTAATTCATAGGCCAAAAGAGCACAAAAACTGGGTCCTGGGGAAAGCTTTCAGGCACCAAAATACAAAGCTGTTGGAGGTCATTGAGAGAACAATGATCTGGTAAGATTCAAAAAATAAGGCAGGGAAATATCCCTCAATCATTACAACCCTTTCCACTGAAAGAAAAGAACTAATTCCTCTAGTAGTCCAACTCAGCTCAAGCTCTAATCTTACTTGATAACATGCTACTGCACACTCCCCAACACCAAATGGTTCTTTTATGACATCAGCCTTTTTTCCAACCCTTTCTCATTTATAAGTGCCCACAATAAGTGCGGCATATAGTAGGCATTTAATATGAGTGTGAGGAAGAGAAAGTGAATGGTATAGTCAAATTTGACATTTTTTCTATGCTGTCTTTATTTTTTAGAATGGTATTTGGGTGCTCTCTTCGGGAGCACATACACTAAAATTGGAATGATACAGAG